GGGAAGTGACCAGCCCGCCCAGCACAGCCAGGGTCAGAGCTATTGAACGCTGGAGTCGCCTCTACCAGAGCCACACGGCCTTCAAACGCCCGGCCTCCGCTTGGAGCTGTGTCTGAAGCCAGAGGACATGTGGGGGGCCGGACGATGGCTCTGGAACAATCCAGGGAGGCTGCAAAGGGGGATACCTATGTGTCAGACACCCTTCACTATGCGGTGGGCACACCTTGTTTGCTGAAAGCGACGTGAAGCACCTGCTGATGAAGATCCAGGACGACAGCCTTCAGTGTGGATCCCAACTCAAGGTCAAGAAGACCCAGGTCCCACAACTGGACCCACAGATCACTTCATGATACACGGAGGAAAGATGGACGTTGCCGAGGATTCTCTTTTAACTTGGACCCACACTCGGTGCTCGAGGAAGCAGCCGTCACCATCCCAACGACGCATTGCATTGGGTTAGTCGCTGCAGGAGACCGCTTTCCAGGGCTGAAAACCCGACTGTGAGGGTTACAGAAGGCCAGACGCGAAACCTGGGGTTTTCAATCAACTCCTAAACTCATGCACGTGAAAGTTGAGCGTGGAATAAGAAAGTACTGTGGATTTCCAAACAACCACCACCATCCCCCGCAAGATAAAAAAAGAAAAACACCTGTCCTGGGAGAAGACAGACCAGAATGCTTGGTGGCAAGGTGAACTCACTTACCGGGGGCGTGTTATCAGGAAAGACCCATCCCTGGAAAAAGGACGGCATGTTTGCAGACAGAACAATGGTGAGGCTGGTGGAGGGCCCGGCAGGGTTTAATTCTGCCACACATGGGCTCACGTGAGTCAGAACAACAATGCTATATCCTGGATCATGGACTATAAGTCAAAAGGTGTTCATGGCCAGTGTGTGCTGGGTCATTTTTTTGTTTTTGTTTTTCTGAAAAGGATTTGGTAGGCCAAGTAGGTTTGTAAACTGCTATAATATAATATAATATAATATATATTTCACCTTTGTAAACCAATATAATATTATATATATATTTCACCTTTTAGGACCATTTGCATGTACTCCCCTTAGTCCAGCCAGTCTTCTTGGGGCTCTTCAATAATGCGATGAGTTCTTTCTTGGCGACCAGGGCATGTTTTCTCCCAGTTCATCATTTGTCCTTTGGATTTATTTATGTATTTGTGTTGTTGTTTTTTAAACCATCAAGATGATTTTTTTTCTAATGGAATGTAATCACACCAACCCATTGTGTCTGATTTCGCTTCTAGATGGGAGTCTTCCCCAGAAAAGCCTTGGCCACGAAGTTCTGAGGTGGATTATCACCGGAACATCGCTGGCTTGTAAGAAGAGCCAAGAGAGCACCCTGCTCAGTGAACGAATGAAGAAAAGCCTCAGTGGGACGCCCACCTAGGAATACTCACTGGCCTCGAAATGGTGTGTGTTTTCTTCTTTTTTAGTTCCTTAGAATTGTAAGAAAGGCCTTAGGATGTTTATGGGCTGATTTTTTGAACGGTGCACTGTATTCTCCTTTAGAAACTATGAGTGGGGCCTCAAAATGGAAAAATGTGTCTCTAAATTCCATTCCCCACCCCCCTCCCCTCTTTGAAGCCCCCTCTCCTGAGTCAACTGCTGTTGGGAGGAAGTTGGAAGTTGCTGAAATCTCCTTTTCAGCCTCTTTATGAGTCAGCTTCATACAGAGGCGTCTGGGAGACAGTAGCTGTTCTCCAGCTAAACGAAGCCCTTCACAGTAGCTCCTGGCATTGGCTCAGCCCAGATCTGTGTCACTCACTACACACACACACACACACACACACACACACACTCTCTCTCTCTCTCTCTCTCAGTCTGAGCAAACACCCTGGATGCCAAGATTCATTCTCTCTCAATCTGAGCTAACACCCTGGATGCCAAGAGTGGCAGTGAGCTCCTGATGCAAGAACACTGACAAGGAGCTGGCAGAGCCCTGACCAGCATGACCATGACCAAGCTAATGTGACCGAGAGACTGTTGCCCACGGAGCCAATGCTCTGGGCAACCCAAGGAAACAGGAGGAGGAATTGAGGGCCTGCAGGTGGAGGAGGGGACAGCTGTTGAAAAACAATCCCAGCACAGGGAGCACCGCAGAATGGAAACGGTGATGGGGGTGGTTCAAGCTTACATAGTCACAAGGCCCTTTTAAAGCTTGTTGTCAGGCATCACGGAGCCGATTCCGACCCATAGCGACCCCAGCCACAACAGAAGGAAACGCCGCCTGGTCCTGCGCCAGCCTCACCCTTGTTCCCACGCCTGAGCCCATCATGTGGCCGCTGTGGCCGTCCATCTCGCTGAGGCCCTTGCTGTGCTGCCCCTCCACTTTGCCCACCCTGATGTCCCTGTCCAGTGACTGGTCTCTCCTGGCAACTTGTCCAAAGGATGTGAGCTGAAGTCTTGCCATCCTTGGCCCTGAGGAGCCCTCTGGCTGTACTTCTTCCAAGACAGATCCGTTTGTCCTTTGCGCAGTCCACGGGACTCTCCGTGTTCTTCCCCAGCACCACCATTCCAATGCACTGATTCTTCTTCAGTGTCCAACTTTCACGTGCGTAGGAGGTCGTGGAAAATACCGTGGCTTGGGTCAGGGGCGCCTTAATCCTCTAAGAACACCCTTGCTCTCCAACATGCTAAAGAGGTTTTGTGCAGCAGATTTGCCCAGTGCAATGTGCCATTTGATCTCCTGGCTGCAGCTTCCATGAGCTCTGATTATGGATCCCAGCAAGACAAAATCCTTGACAACTTCAACCTTGACTCCAGTTGTGATGTGAACTATTGGTGCAGTGGTGAGGACTTGGGCCTTCTTCACATCGAGTCGCCATCCATACTGAAGGCTGCAGTCCTTGATTTTCATCATCCTTGATTTGATATCCAAGAGTAATTACCCTGCTTCCCCCAAAATAAGTGCCTCAAGTCCTGCTCCCTTTCAGCAGGCAAGGTTG